TACTTCGCTTGCAAGGGTTTAGGGTTTAGGGTTTAGGGTAGAAGGAGTATGTCTACCTAGGATACTAGTATTACACTAGAGGGTCCTACTTGCCTGAAACTGAGTCACGTCTGGATCCCAGTGGTCCGTTTCCTTTTGGGAGGTCCAAGCTGGATGATCAGCAGACGCCCAACATCACCACGGACCTGAAGCACGGCCTCGTGGTGCGCCCGCTGAACTCCTCCACCCTTCAGCACAGCCAAACCCCTGCGTCACCCAAGGGCGCAAATCACCTTCAATCCTATGTTCCACCCTAAACCCTAAACCCTAAAACAGTGTAGCCTATTATCGAGAGACCGCTCCAGAATGCCCCGTCGCAGATTGGGAGCAACTTGCTCCTGGGTCCTGGTGGCTACATCTCCCTGAGCGGACCGGGCATGCTTACGCACCAGGGACGGTCGGGAGCCCCAGGAAGAAAAAGAAGAAGTGGTGCTGTCCTCTGAAATAGCTTCCGAGAAGTCGCCCTGATGACCCTAAACCCCTAACCCCCTAAACCCTAAACCCCTAAACCCTAATGTGTTCTCTTTCCATAGGCCGAGTCCCGAGGTGCTTCACTTTTGACAACTCGGCGGATGGCTTCGCTCGAGGAGAGGGCGTGGGCTCCGTCAAGCTGAAGGCCCCTCAGATGGCCGCTTCACTCGCTTTCCTAGAGTGGTGCTGGAATGTGGTGCTGGCAGGCCCCCGCACACCATAATTGAGGATGATGGTCGTCTATGTTGTGAAGAGCCGGCTGCAGTCACCACCACTGCCGTATCCATGACAAACAACTTTGCCTTCTGCATGCCAGCAGAATCTGTGATGCTGCAGATGCTGCCACTGCCGATGATGGTGGTGATGAGGCCGCTCTAGTTCGGTGACTGGTGGCCGGACGAGCCCAGCCCAGCCATCTGCTGCTGATGTGGGGGGGCGGAAGGGGGGGCCAGGGTCGACTCTACGCCTTTGTCCCTGTGGAGTGTGCTTGTCTGCCTGATGGGGCATCCTGCGCCCTCTTAACCCTTCAAACCTTGAGCCGCAAATTGCAAAATTCTGAACCCAAAACCCTAAAGCCATAAAGCCCTGTAACCCTGAAGTGCAAGCCCTAAACCCTGAACTCCCAAACCGCTCTGGACCGGGAAGTCTAAATGGACCGGGCCCTGCCTACCCAATCTGTGTCGAAGCTTTTGCCGTAGTTGACCATTCCGATCGGTCGGCGGCGATGGTGATGGTGGTGAATGTGAGCTGATGATCAAGATCAGCAAGGATGAAGAAGCGCATGACGACGACGGCGACGACGATGGTTATGCGGTGATGCTTCATGGCGCGGCCGCCTTGACCAGGGTGTTGATTGAAGTGGGCCTCAACGCTCATGCGTGCTTCGGCACCGCGTTGTACCGCTCTGATTTCTGATTTTATGTGAAGTCCGAAGTTTCCGAGCCGGCCATGCGAGGCCCCTAAGCAGTTCCCAAAGGTTGCATCGGTTTTTGGACCCAAAAAGAAGGCACTGTGCATGTACTGTGGCATGTTCTGTCGGAAAGCGATTCTGGCCCATGAAGTTAGCCTTTTGACTCTCGGGAGGTCTGTGAGGATTCCGTGGAAGCCTCTGGCCGAGTTGCCATGCTGATCGGCTGCAGCGTCAATCAGGCAGAGTCCCAAGCGCAGACCTCTGATCTGAGTGGATCCCTTTTACCACCCCTAAACCCTCGAGCCAAAACCCTAAACCCCCTAAACCCTAAGCCCTAAACCCTCTAAACCCCTAAACCCCGGGCGCGGGCGCACGCGCGCGAGAAGTCTCACCGATGTTTTGTTTTTCCACGCAGGACGGCCGCAGCGCCTCCATGACGGCGCCACACGGCCCGGAGCCGAGAGGTGCCGAGAGACTCCGAGCTTCAGCCAACTTGCCCCCTCCCCGCTCTCTTTAGGGGTTTAGGGGTTTGTACGGCTTTGTAGGCGTTTGTAGGGCTTCGTAGGTTTAGGGGTTTAGGGGCTTTGCCCGTCTAAGGCCCATCGCAGCAGGAAGTCATTCGACAGTCCATGCGGGAGGCGGCAGAGTGCCGAGTGTTGGACACTGGGCCTCTCTCGGAGTCTGAGAGGCTGGCTTGTCCCCCAACAGTATCACCATCGCCGAGTGCCACGGAACAGGCCGAAGATGTATTCCTTTCTCCTTGCAGCGACGCAACTGACCGGCCGGGCGTTCTTTCTTGCATCACGAGGAACTGCGCTGGGAGATCCGATTGAGATCGGAGCCCTGCGAGGGGTCGGGGGCCACAGCTTAGTGAGTCTTGCAGCTTTGCTGTTCACCAGGGTGCTCGGAAGAAGTAATGATAGTATCCCCCTGTTTTTGCACTTTTCTAACATATGTCTATATATATATATACATATATATATACTTTTCTGCACCCCCAAATTACCCCCTGTTCTAGCTCTTTTGGTCCATACATCTTAGAGACCCATGAGATTCTCAGGTCATGCGTGCAGACCGGGCCCGTCCCATTCTGAAGACCAGCTCCAAGACGAACCTGGGCCACTTGGAAGCCGGAGCTGGGATGGCAGGCCCGGGGGGCCCGGCGTTTCGGGGAGAACCGATAGAAGGAAAGAGTGGAGCAAAACAACAGGTTTAACAATGTGTAATATATAAGTATATACGTGTAGCGATTGATGTCTGCATATATGTATAAAGACACATACACATCCACATATGCAGATGAATCAATGAATGGATATCTATACATATATGCAACCATGTATATCTACATATATGTACGTATATATATGTATATATATATATGTCTATATACATACATATGTATATACATAGATGATATGATGTACACTGCAAGAGGATATCCCCTTTCACTGTCACTCTCGCGGTCTCTCTCTCTCTCTCTCTGCTTTGGTGGGCCAGGCTTGATCAAGTGCATCTGCATGTTGAACTACTCCTCGGGGGCTCCCAACATCCATCTCCTCGTGCTGAACCCGCACTTGGATGTGGCCGGCCAAAGCCTCGGGGAAGACTTCAAAGCCCTAGGCTTCGCGCAGCCCCAAGCCTGGCGGCTGCCCGAGGCTATCCTGTCTACTTCGAGTCCGAGTTGCTAGACTACGGCTGGGCCCTGAGACAAACCCGCAGCAGAGCCAACAAAAATTCGCTGCCCCTCTGAGGCAACAACAGTGGCCTCACCGGCGTGTCATCCTTCGGCTTCGGAGGCTCCGAGCTCAGAGAGAGAGACCCTTTTGCGTCCCTCCGCTTCCCTGGCCGCAGAGGCACCAACGCGCGTGCAGACGTGTGGGGCCACGCGACGAAGGGACATCGCTACTGCATCACTGGCCCCCTGGAGTCTCTGACGCAGTTTCAAAGATAGGAGACATCTTCCGAGATCGAAAAAGAAGAGTGCATTGAAAGCAGCTGTGCATGCTACAGAGCTTATAAGGTCGCTACAAGCAACAAAGGGCTCAATTTAGGACCTCAAGAACTCACCTTTCCGACAAAAATCAAGTTTCAATCAGGCTGGAAGTAGGCTGAGTGAGACTTGCTGTTGTGTCCGCGATGGAACGGAAAAAGGGCTGACCCCAGTGCATTTTTCACGCGCTCAGCCGGGGGTGTCCTGCAGCTTTGAGACCCCAGCCGTCCCCACCGCATCGGCTCAAGAGACGTGTCACCCTGAACTCGGGAAATCCCTGTTGCAGTTATATTTTAGGTAGAGTCGGGCAGAAGGAGCGCTCTTCTTTAAACGCGGCAGCCCCACCCATATATATATATATACATATACATACACACACACATACATACATACATATACATACATACATACTAGATATTCTTTGTGGGAGAGGCTTTCTTTACAGAGGGGAGGGGGATCCGCTTGCCGGGGCAGGACGAGAGGATGAAGCGCCTCCTGGCGTCGGTCCGAGGTCTCAGTTCCGGACGCGCCTTTGGGGGCGTTTCTCTGCAGGCGTCTGTCGGCAGCTCCCTGGGGCCCTTTTTGGGGGTTTAGGGTTTATAAGGTTTAGTGAAATTCAGGGTTCTCTCCTTCTCTCAGCTGTTTCGGCCCTGAAGAGCCGGCCGACCTCACGAGCCCCCTGCCTCAGCAGCTCGGCAAAAAACAGCTTCTCAGAAGCTTTTAGCGTCTCTCTTCTTGTGAGCCGCTGCGAAGGCGACACATACGCCCCGTCGGATCCCGAAATGGGGGGACCCATCGATTGCTTCAACTGCGGTGGTAAGGGGCTCAGCTGCCCCGAACCCTTAGAAAGGTGAGAACGGCCGCTTTTTGTTTGCAGCCCTTCGACTGAAGATTGAAGCGTTCCCTGCCTGAGAGTTGAGACCTCTGCGCCACCCGCGACCAACACTGGAGTCGCATAGATTTGTAATCCCTCCCCAAGTTTGACCTTCGTGTGTGCGGCCACCCCAAACCACGTGGGACCCTTCCAGGGCTCTGCTCGACGAGGCTTTTTGCAAAAGGGTTGATCAGCCTGACGCACCTGCAGCAGTCAGTGGGCACCCCAATGCCATCCTCTCAATTATACATTGGGTGGTTGGGCGGGCGAGCACTCGACCCCTAGGCGGGTAGAGAGAGAGAGAGAGAGAGAGAGAGAGAGAGAGCGAGAGAGAGAGAGGGAGAGAGAGAGTATGTTTATGTCATATCCGGGTAGTTTCTGCTACAGACATGAGAGATGAAAAGTCATTCCTGGCGTCCCAAAGTTTTCGAACTGTAACATGTTCCCCCCGGAGAAGTGTGTCCTGTTCTTAGCAAACATTTGTGTCCTCCCTTCACACAACTGGGGGAAAACATGTCAAACCTTTCTCACGCCTCCTCAAAGCCCCATAACACATGGGGGGCCCTAGTGGCCGGGGGGCCTAAACCGCCTCCCATGCCCTGGCGAAGAAGAGAGAGACAGACCCATAACATATGGGGGGCCAATAGGCCGGGGGGCCTGACACGCCCCTTATGTCATGGGGAAGAAGAAGAAGAGAGAGACAGAGGGAGAGGTGAAACCCCTGGCGAAAGAAAGGGAGAGAGTGGATGGGGAAGCGCCTGGAGCGTGGGCCCTCGGCTCTAACCCCAAGCAAAGCAAAG